AGTCTTAAAATTTTATGAGGCCCATACTCTCTCCATGTATTTACGTGTACATGTACATGTATGGTACATGTACATGTACATTGCCCTTGTTAAATGAGAAATATAGCATTGGCCTTTTGCCAAGGTGGCAATTGAAAAATGTATAGAACAATCATGGACATTGACATTGAAATTTTATTTAGTAAAATGGTCCACAGTCTTCCAATGAGCAGCCCTGCCTGGTCTGATGAAGGGGAAACCAAATTGACTGATGAATATTGTGAAGTGATTAATTTGGAGGTCAGTCTTGCCAGATGCTCTTAGATTGTGCCTTGTAATAATGGCAGTAAGTGAACAGGTGGGAGCAGTGCACTTTTTTGAGTTTTTGTATAGTGTTCCAAGGACCCTTTCTAATTGTAGAACACAGTTCCATTCAACAGGACTAGAAGCCTGTTTGTTTCACATGTGGATCAGGATCTTGATCAGTGATCTCAATGCTGGTCGAATGATTGGGCAGGGTTTGGTATCAGTGAACCAGTGATGGTCACTGATCAAGATTCAGGTCATTGTGATACAGACCTCTATAGATATGAGCTAGGTGTACAGGAGCTGGGGATTCTCTGCCATACATGTAGACATGATAGAGTATGGGTCTGTATTGACGAAGAGGTTTTCAGATGAGGAGGGGCGGGGACCACACGTCTTATGAAATTGCATTCAGTTGGCAAAATAATGAAGAATTTGAGATTTAATTTTCAGACCCCTTTTAATATTTATATGCCATAAACCATAGATGTATGCAGTTATGCCATTCATACCATACATGTACATGTGCTTGCACGTGAACATGACTCAGTATGTGTACATGTGTATGATGTACTAGGGACAAGCAATATGCCCCCAAAGATTCTGAAAGCATACATGCATGTACATGCACATGTATTGGATGCTGTGCACGGTGCTGATGCCACCTTTCCCGAAGAGCCATAACCTGATTGGCCCTTACAGTACGTACCGGTACTTTGCATACTGTACAGTACAGATGGAAGGCGCTTGTCGGTACATGTACTGGTAGCCTACATGTACATGTACATTGTGCATGCAAATGAAGTTGAAAATCATGAGGAGGTCATGAGGAGGCCAGTTGGAGTTTTCTTAGTAAAAACAAACATTGCTGCACAGTAAAAAAAAAAATTCACTAAAACTAAATGCACATTTGGTAGCAGCAATTACCTACCGGTACATGTACACCAATGCATCTACAGTATACATGTACATGTATACAGGTATAAGTACATGTACATGTACATATGTGTACAGTTTACTCCAATCCCACTACGTTTTTTCTACAGGCACCCTGCTGAAATTAGGGTACATATGTAATTTCAACAAGAATAAAATACTGAATGGTGTTTACTGAATCCAGTACGGTACATTGCAGTGAATGGCGAGAAGAAATGTTTGTTGATCCCAGATCAACAAAACCCTACAGAAATCCTCAGCATTTGGATTTTCATAGAATATGGTTTGAAGGGAATAGATACATGTACCTTGTAAAATCTGAGATGCCCAGACTGAAACTGAGCACATGAGTCCCTGGTACATGTACATGTAGGTCCAGGAATGCGTATACCGGTAGCAGGTTCCTAAAAATATGGGTCATTAAATAATGTTCAACCATGGGGGTTCATTTTTCCTGAAGAGAATAGCAAGGAATTAATTTCCAATGTCTGATGTAATGAGGGAAGTCCTGGCCGATATCTGAAACAATGATGACTATGTCCATCTTTCAACTTAATTGGAGTTGATGAATTAAAGTCTCGAACGTCAGCATTTTTGACGGGCGGGAACAACCTGTTGAAATCCTAGCCAATAAAATTTATCGAGGAGTGATAATTCCCTCAGTTATTTTACACATATTTATATGTGGTGAAAGGTGATAATATTTACACATATTAAAACCATAATCATGAAATTAAAAATACCTCTCACAATTAATTGGGTCCCGAAGTCGGCAGTCGCAAACGTCATTTGATTCTGTTATTAGTGTCAAAAAAATCTACTGCAAAAAAGCAGCGAGTAAAATCAAAACCAACACAAGCTTTAATAAAGAGTGAAAAAGCACCCTCAAACCATCATCATTTTACAACGTGACTGATCATATTTTTTTCAAGTACATTTCCAAAAACCGCAGTCCAAAATACCGATCATGGCAATTTTGTGGCTTCCGTCATTATCTTGCTGTGGCCTGTTTGACCTTTGACATCAACCAGATAGTGCACCCTCTTTTTCATTCAATATTTATGAGCCCCTCCACCGAATGGCGACGCTCAAGGATTTTCTCTTCAAACCAAGGTTCTCGAAAGAAAATTGGTATTGCTTAATGACGTTTAAAAAAAATGAGGCCCGAGACATAAAATACGATTCATGATGAAAATTTCAGATGACACCAAGATTGCAGGATTTAGAAATTTTATTGATCTTTCATGCTCGAATATATGAAGCATTCTCCATGTGTTAACAGGACCGATATAGCGGAGACAAAGCCAGAATTACGCAAAAATATCAAGCAGTCAGACAAGAACTTGCACTTATGCTCGAATATATGAAGCATTCTCCGTGCGGAACAGGACCAGTATAGCGCAGAAAAAGGCATTATGCAGCGAGGCATGCCAGAGGCCTGCAGAACTGGAGGTAATTGAAGGGTACTCTTGTGTGACTTTTTTAACACCCTGCCACCTGGTACTTTATTGGGGTTGAACTTCTTCAGAGCGAAAAAAAAACACTTGGCTGGAAAGGTGTAGGGGCCACTTGGGTGTCAAGTTAATTAGTGTCATCTCTCTTGGGTGCCATCAGGGCGTGGAATTAAATTTTGTGGAAGGACTAAAAGAATTGGTTAGTCATGTTGGTTGGGTTCGTTGACTAAATTGACACGTGATTCAAGAGTAGTCTGAATTTACTTGAATTTTGAATCTGTGGACAATTGAGAACATGTTTGTTAGTTGTTCAAATTAGATGTATTGCCTATCTTTGTGGATATAAAGCTGATACATGCTTTTCCAACCCATCCCCATTAAAATGTTTAAAAATACAAATGTTTCAATTCATCTGCATGTGTCAGGAGCTTACATGTACATGTATATGTATGTTTTTGGTAAGTGTGTGTACGCTTAATTGCTCTGAACTAGTACAATACATGTACATCATATACTGTACATGTACATGTTCATTGAACCAATGTACATGTACTTAGTATAAAGATGAACCTGATGCCACTTTATTTTTTTAATTTTAAGGATGATTCAGAAATATTATTAAAAAACCTGTAAAAACTGGCTCGATTGAAATTGGCTTTTGTGGTGAATCCCCTGCAATAAAATTTTATAGATGAATTCTACCATCTACATTATCACGTTAATGTATGCCTAAAAAGTACAGTAACCTCACTGTGAACGTTACTTTGTTTTGTGGAAAATATGCAGGGTGGTGCAGATGGTAGTTTTAAATCTGCATCGTGTACATGTACATGTATGTAGACATCTTTCCTGGAATAACTGTCTGTTAAAGTACATACGCCCTACATGTTACAGGTACAAGGGCATGTACCGGTAAATAATGCAATTACTGGTTTCTCTGATTGGTCATTGGTAGTTGTGACACCAGCAATGTCCCAGTCATGATTTCATGTTTGGTTTGTGCGCTATGGGTACAGGACACGGTCAACTTCTTCAACTTCATTTCCACATATATACAAAAGTAGAATATACTCGAAAGGTACCGGTACCGCTAATGTAAAGAAAAACATGTGGTTGGGGATCACTAAAAAGCAAAGCTTGTCAAGTAGCTATCCCCACAGTTAATAGTAAACGATTTATATATACTGTACTAAAGAATTAACACACGAACACATAACATTAGCCCTAGCTGCCCAAAACCTGCCATACTCCAACAGCAGGTTTTGTGAGGTTTTGGC